TAATACAAATGAATTCCTAGTATAATAAGTAAATGTATTATTTTGTTGTTGTATTTTTTTTAAATTTATTCCTTTTAAGTAGGCTCCATGCCCAACATGGGGTTCAAACTCAAGACCCTGAGATCAAGAGTTACCTGCTCTACCGACTGAGCCAGCCAGCTGCCCAAGTGAATGTATTTTTTAAAAGTAGATATTGGTATATAATTGGAACTTGAAGGATATATAAGATCAAAATAACATGACTTTTTGACAGAGAAAAGAAGGGTTATTTCAGGATAGTGAAATAGCATTGACTAGGATTGAGATATAAGAAATCCCGTATGACATTCCTTTTGTTTACCCACCTTAATTTCCAGTGCAGGAGTAGACCATTGTCATGTTAAAAGGACCTCAAGATGGTGAAAGTCTGGCAATGAACGGACTTTTTTTTGCAAAGGCAGAATGGACTTCATCCACACATGCCACAATCTTACAGTATAAAGAAAGCTTATTATTACTTATTTGACAATATTTCCCATGTAATTTACATATCAAATGAACCTCATTAGTTTAACAAATCCCTTGAAATATTCCAGGTCAAAAAGGTTTCATTTGCAATTTGATTTTGGGAAGTTTGTCAAAAAATATTAAAAAAAGGTTTTACCCTCTTACACTGTTGGTGGGAATGCAAGCTGGTACAGCCACTCTGGAAAACAGTATGGAGGTTCCTCAAGATGTTAAGAATAGAGCTATCCTATGTCCCAGCAACTGCACTACTAGGTATTTACCCCAAAGATATAGATGTAGTGAAGAGAAGGGGCACATGGACCCCAATGTTCATAGCGGCAATGTCCACAATAGCCAAACTGTGGAAGGAGCCGAGATGCCCTTCCACAGATGAATGGATAAAGAAGATGTGGTCCATATATACAATGGAATGTTATTCAGCCATCAGAAACAATGAATACCCACCATTTGCATCGACATGGGTGGAACTGGAAGGGATTATGTTAAGTGAAGTAAGTCAAGCAGAGAAAGACAATTATCATATGGTTTCACTCATATGTGGAACATAAGCAATAGCACGGAAGACCATAGGGGAAGGGAGGGAAATCCAAAGGGGGTGCAATCAGAGAGGGAGATGAACCATGAGAGACTATGGACCCTGGGAAACAATCTGAGGGTTTCAGAAGGGAGGGGGTTGGGGGAAGGGGGTAACAGGGTGATGGGTATTGCGGAGGGCATATGCTGTGATGAGCACTGGGTGTTATACGTAACTAACGAATCACTGAACACTATATCAAAAACGAATTATGTATCATACTAACTAAACATAGTAAAAAAATAAAAGTAAAAAAAATTTATAAAAAAAGGTTTTATAGCACTTGCCTAAATAGTATCACAGATCATTATGAAATTTAATACCTAAAAGTTAAAAAGACTTCCACAATCTTATTAAAAGCGAACCAAAAGTCTGCGAAAACCTTGTCCTTTTAACAGAGAGAAAACCAAATTCTAATTTTGCACCAGCTCACTTTTTATATTAGAACTCATTCTTAAATAAATTCATTCTAATCTTAGCCAGCTTGACCACACATTAAAATTCCTTTTCAAAGATTCCTTTCCACAAACCTCCTACAACTTTCTTTTCTACATTCTGATTTTGTCCTATGTTTTTCCTCTTTATTTTTTTTTTTAAGTAAGAGAGGGAGAGAGCGCACACATATGAGCAGAGGGAGAGAAGCAGACCCCTGCTGTGTGGGGAGCCCAACTGGGCTCCATATGATACCAGGACCCTGAGATCATGACTTGAACAGAAATCAAGAGCCAGGTGCTCAACCTAGTGAGCCACCCAGGCTCCCCCTATGTTTTTCCTCTTTAAACAACCAGCCTCACTTTAGGACAAAATTATTCTTTCCCTCAACAAAAAATGCATCTGCATTTCTCATACTTTCTCTTACTGAAAACACATCCTACTTTCCTGGCATACAGAGATATTTCTCTTATTATTTCTAGTGGCTTTAATTACACATATATATATTTTTAAAGATTTTATTTATTTATCTGACAGAGAGAGACACAGTGAGAGAGGGAACACAAGCGGAGGGGGGAGGGAGGTAGAGGGAGAAGGAGGCTTCCCGCAGAGCAGGGAGCCCAATGTGGGGCTTTATCTCAGGACCCCGGGATCATGACCTGAGCTAAAGGCAGATGCTTAACGACTGAGCCACCCAGGTGCCCCTTTAATTACATATATTAATTAGACTTCTTAACCCTTGGGAACCTTACTTTCTAATGAAAACTAAGAAGTGAACAATTATGAACTGTCTGATATACCTGCATTCTTTAAATTTGCCCATTAATGAGTACATTTCATGATTTCTAGAAGCATATGCCTTTTTCAATTTTCCAATATAGCACTAACACATCCAAGTATTTTTTACTTTTTCTGTAATAAGAAGCCAAAAGTAGATAAACTTATGTTCAGTAATTTATGTTTCAGTATTTTATCTAATTTGGAAAGGATCTAGATATTCAATGACCATCCATTATGTAATTTAATTTAACAAAACTCTAAGGTTTTTAGTTACCAAAAAAGATTTGGGGAAACTATTTATATAGACATGAATATTGCTGAAAAGTTTATTTGTAAACTTTTATCTTACTTACATCTATTTAATTCTCTTCTTGATAACTATGTTTAGATTAGTCATGAAAATTTCACAAGACATCAAACAACTAACCATCATCTTTAAGTTATCTTTCTTGCTGACAAATTCTGTAACAGAACTTATTTGACTTTCAGTAAACCTAGGTAACATAAAAGTATCATATTTAATGCTGACAACTCTAAAAACATGCCTGTTTTACTTAAACCAACAAATTTCAACTGGCTTTGATTTATTAAAGATTAATCCTAGAGCACATGAACTTGAAACTTATTTGGGTTTGTTTCTATTATGTTTCTGAGAATTTAACTTACATAAGTACTTAATTTTCCTTAAACCAATTAAATGAGCTCTCTTTACAATTTAATTTTGGCAATACCACCCTGAAGTAGAAAACACCACACATCTACAACACATATAAACATAGAGATAGATGCAAATGGAAACCTTATGGTTATTGTTATAAAATTTTTGTCCATGAGATGAGTATGATAAAGCAGAACTCACTCGTTTATAAAAGAATGACTGGATGCAAACTGTTTTTCTGGCAGATGGGATAAATTAAGGTTACCTGCTCAGATTGCTAAAACTTTTTTTTTTTTAACTAATATTTGTGGAGAAGATGCTTGAGATTTTTATTTATCCTTGACAAGTAATGTGATGGAAGCTGTGGGCTAGATTTTGAGACAAGGTGCCTCTATAGCTGTTTGTATTTTTTTAAAGCTTCTTTTTTTTCCTTTTGTTTTTCTTCAGTCTTAGGAATAGAGGATGATGGAGGCAAAAGTTCCCAGAGTGGTTATAAGACCTTTGAGATAAATGGGGGAGGTTTGGGGATTGATGAGAAGGATAGGTTGGAAGACTTTGAATCCTTTCAGAGGCCAGCTGTATTTCAAGTTTTGCAAAGATTTGTAAGATAAGGACAGTTGCTTTTAGTCTCTTGAGGAATGGCTGCAACTTCAAGGACATCATAGGTTGATCTACCCATCCAACCACACCATCTTCAACCTGCTTTTTTCCCTCTGGTACCTAGCTCTAATTTTAATTGAGAGGTGAAAGTCTTAAAAACAGTGATCAGTTTCTGAATATCAGCTTCTAATCTGGCCAACTTTTGACTAAAAAAAAATCTTGTCAGTTTTCAGGCAGGACAAACAGCAGGTTTTTCTGACAGTATTAAATAACTACCCTTGGGTGTAAGATGAACAAGACACACTCTTCCCAAGATCAGTCACTCCCAAAGATAGTCAAAACAGAGAACCAACAACCTGCACATCCCAGGTAGGCTCCCAGGTAGGGGGAAAGCCAAGCCCAGTTAATGCAAAATGAGACAAAGAAGAAGGCAATAGCTATCCCTGGAAAGAAAAGGATCAATAAACAATGGATTTGGATTTGGAAAGGAAAGAACAATGTGAAATTTTATTTTCCTCTCTTGATTGGGCACTACAGACAGATTCAGAAAAACTGATGATGGTAAGAATTACCTTTCTCAGGCTTCTGTCAGTTTTGCCAGGATTTCCACTGTAGGCTCTGGTATCTACTAGAGTTTCCCTCTGGCTGTTTAAAGGAATAATGTAGCAGTTTACCACAAAATCTCTTAGTGTCATCAACTCTGGAAGGGGCCCACATGGGGGCCCTCCTTTGAAGGTAGATATGGGGGTGTCTGTAAGGCTGGAGTTTTATTTATGTTTAGGTAATCTTTTCAGAGCGGAAACAATTTAGACAGAGGATTAGTAGAATGAGTACTCAAAGGCCGATGGAGGGGAGCAATAGGTGTTACATCGGTCTTACAGTCTTTACCCACCTGATGGTTACCGAGCCAAATTCTTTAGGACATGAAAAAAAGCTTGTAGATTTTTATAGCTTCCAGGACCATAGTTCTTAGAAATAAAATAAGCAAGTGTACTGAAAGATGGAGTGCTTAATTCTTTAGAATTGAAGAATCCCATTAGCTAAGTCTTTTACACAAAATACAAACATATGCACCTTGACACACCAGCAGGAACCGACACATGTCACTGTGGACTGGACAAGAAAAGGCAGAGTATACCACCAGCGATTCCCAATGCACACTCAACCGGCAAACTCCATGAATACAGAGTACATTCTGGAAATGGGGAAAGGACTAAACCAGCATACCCCACTAAATGGGGACTGCAGACCTGACCCAGGGAAGAGATTCCAATGTGGCATTGTGGGCTGAACCAAGGGCTAAGAACTGGGGCTCTATGTTAGAGTCTCCTGTCAGCTCAGGCTGACCCATTAACCTTGGACTGGAAAACAAAGTAGATCTGTCATTTGTATGCTTAGATCTGTCGTTCGTATGCAAAAAGAGCAAAATTCAAACCTAGAGGCACTTACCAGCAGCCTTTGGAAATAGTGAGAAAGGCAGTGATCTCAAAAGGGTTCGAAGGGTGTGGTCCTCCATTTCTCATTGTCCCTGAATGCTTTGGATCCCACCACTGCTGCCTAATCTGTTAAAAAACAAAATTCAACTGAATAAATTTAAAGATCTAATTTGGCTTTATTAAATGATTCATGAATTTGCATTCCCGTCGGGCAAACTGAGAGGAGTTCTGAGAAGTTGTACAAAATGGAAGATTTTTTAGGAAGGAGGGTGGAGCAAGAAAGTTTTTAGCAAAAGAGAAGAAAAGATTGATTGTTCCAGGCAAGATCCCCTTCTGATAGGTAGAAGGGCAGGGGGCCTTACTGGTGCACTACCCCATCTTTTGGGGGGTGATGGAAGGACCCTGTGACAGATTACCGCACTGGTGTAGATCAGAAAATTCCTGACTGATGGGTTAAGACTACATTTCTAAGGGAGGTTGAAACTGCAATTAGGTATTACGCCTCTGCTTGGTGACTTGGCCTAAGTGATGCCATTTTGTGCCTGTGGTCTTTTTTAAAACAACCTTGAAGTTAAAAAGACTCAAGATCTTTAAATGAAATTTTCAGAAAACATTTTGAGGAAAACTCTCCTTGCACTTAGGGAGGGTATCCTACATTCAGAATGGGTCAAAAGTTAAATACCACAGTTATAGACACTTCCCTTTAAGGCAATTTAATGTTTCCTTCAGCTGGTCTCTGTACATTTTATCTAAATTAGTTTCTTGAACTCTTATATTTTAAACTAAAATTTCAGAAAGTGGCCTCTTGCTGCCAAATAACATTTTCTTACACACAATCTTGAGGATCATAATTAATGGAATATACAATGTATATATATATATATGTATTTAAAGATTTTATTTCTTTTTTTGACAGAGAGAAACACACTGAGAGAGGAAACACAAGCAGGGGGAGTGGGAGAGGCAGAAGCAGGCCTCCTGCTGAGCAGGGAGCCCCATGTGGGGCTCGATCCCAGGACCCTGGGATCATGACCTGAGCCCAAGGCAGGCACTTAACGACTGAGCCACCCAGGCGCCCCTATACAATGTTTATTTTTAATGCTGTAATTATGGCTCTGCTTTTGGAGAAAAGCCACTGATTTAGCAATGGAATTCTAGTATCTTTTACTAGGTAATGGACACAAAATGTCTTTGTGTTTTAAGATATAGCAAGAAGCTCACCGAGTGGGGGTGGTGGGAGCTGTTTGCTTACCTGGGAGGAGTCTTCTATCACTGCTTAAGTGGGAATTGCCAGCTCAAGGCAATTAAAAAACAGAACTTCTAGGGCGCCTGGGTGGCTCAGTTGGTTAAGCGACTGCCTTTGGCTCAGGTCATGATCCTGGAGTCCCTGGATCGAGTCCCTGGATCGAGTCCCGCATTGGGCTCCCTGCTCAGCGGGGAGCCTGCTTCTCCCTCTGACCCTCCCCCCTCTCATGTGCTCTCTCTCATTCTCTCTCTCTCAAATAAATAAATAAAATCTTTAAAAAAAATAAAAAATAAATAAATAAATAAAAAATAAAAAACAGAACTTCTAGTGTGTCTTATCATTGTTTTAAAATTTTTCCCAGAAGATATATCCCCAGTGTTGACTGTACCCATAACAGACCACTTCCACTGGCTCATGCTTGGCACACACTGGGATACAGAAGAGAAGAGAGGACAATAGAATGAGTATCTATCTACCAACCAGCTTTGTCAATCTTAATCTTTTATGATACTTGCTTCAGATTGCTTTTCTTATGATGAAATACAACATCACAGATACGACTGAAGCCCTTGTGCGCTCCTCTTTCTTCTGTTCTTTCTCCAGTGGGAGTCACTATGTTACATTTAACTTTCTCCATGCCTGTGCATATTTTTATCCTTTACTACATAATGTGTCTACCCTAAGCAACATGGCTTGTCCATATTCATAAACAAAATAGTATTATTTTTGCACATTTAAAAGTTTAATATAAATGGTATTGTAATGTTTATATCTATCTGCAGCTTGTTTTCCCCTTCAAATTTATATTTGCGATATTTATCCAGCTTAATAGAAGTAGCTCCAGTTCATTAGTTTTCACTGCAATGTAGTGATCCCTTGTTTAAACACACCATAAATTCTCCTTTTGTGACATGTAGGTTGCTTTTAATTTTTTGCTATCAGACAATACTTCTATGAACACTCTTGTTCATGTCTTTCTGACATAATGTAGGACAGTTTCTTACTAGGGTGTACAGTTAGGAGGGGAGCTGCTATGTCAAAGATTAGGCATATATTTAATTTGAAACACATCATCAAATCTGCAAGAGGCTCTGAGGTGTTGGGACACCCACCTAGGCGTGATGACCATGACCTGCTCTAATGTTACAAGATTTAAATATCATCTGGGACAAGATACTCATTTATAGACTTGGAAACATGCTTCCTCACTGTCATTCTTTGGGCAACTGCATCTTATAGGAATGACTTCTTCCCCCTTGGTCCTCCTCGTACACATTTTGATCTCTTCATCATTATCAATCAACATCATAGCAGCTAATTTTACTAACTCTTATTATTTTCCAGGCACTGTGTGGAATACTTCATATGCACTGTTTTACTTATTCCTCATAACAATCACAGGGGGTAGGTGCTATAAATTATTTCCACCTTACATGTAAGGAAACCAAAGCCTGAAATAAATTGAGTACTTGCTCAGAGTGACTAGCCAGGATTCAGGCTGTTATAACCCAGTTCCCAAGCTCTTAACCACTCACTGTGTGATACAGCATTTCTCTATTCATGAAACTACAAAATCATTACTTTCTTTTCTAATTTGCAAAAGAAAGAGAGGTCTATTATGAGACTATTTGCATAGTATCATAGAAAAATCAGGAAAAAAAAAAAATCACTGCATTGTGATTTGAAATCCTTAATCCTTGACTTGGGTTCAGGACAGTGTGTTCATTCATTTGTTATCTTTCCTCCTTCTTTTTACAATGTTATTAATGTGGAAACATTCTTAAAAAGATAGAAATATACCTCATTATTATTTTTGCATATTCCCATCTTCATTCTCCTGGATATCTTTTACATGTTGCAGTTTTAGTATACATGTAATTAATCTCTTTCTTTTTTTTTTTTTAAGATTTATTTATCTGAGAGAGAGAGAGAGAAAGTGAGCAGGGGCGGGGTGGGGGGAAGGGAAAGAGAAGCAGACTCCCCACTGAGCACAGAGCCTGACTTCCAGCCTGATTCGGAGCCTGATTTGGAGCCGACACAGGGCTAGATTTCACAACCCTGAGATCACAACCTGAGCCCAAATCAAGAGTCGGACACTTAACAGACTGAGCCACCCAGGCGCCCCAAATCTTTCTTTTTTAAGATTAACATTATATCACAAGCGTTTTTCCTTACAATAAAATCATAATGATCATTTGCGTGGATGTGTTAGAATTTATTTATACATTCTATTGTTTTCAAAGAACATTTTTGTGCCTGTTACTTTTTCTTCCATCTGGGTCATTTTCTCAAGATAAATTCCTTGGGGGAAAATTACTAGGCCAATGGACTGATCATTGCTATGATATCTGATACTTTTTAACATCAGATGCATGCTTAGAAATGGGAATGCTGACTAAATCTGAACCATATGAGGTCATCACACCATGATCTCTATGTAGATAACTTCCTGACATATCAATTTATTGCTTACAATTGATGTTAATTAGAGGTTTATTTGCCTAATGTCTTAACTGATTGGCATTCTCTATGGTCAATGTGGTTAGGTCTGGTTCATGACCCCACATCCCTCTGAGACTTATGTTCCTGGAGTTGCTATAATGTTCAGTGTGCCTTTTAGCCATTAAAAATAGTCATAGGTTTGTTTATTCTTCTAGAAAACAATCATTGATAGGATTCAAAAACTTGGGAGGACAAAATTGGACATGACAGAAAAATAGAACATAGTGGCATGGATAAAAGGAAGTAGAAAATCCTGCTGTGATCTTGTCCCATTGTGCCCACCCTACTGAGCTGCTGACGATTGCATTAATCCACGAGGACTGCACAGCTGAGCACTAGGGGACGTATTCATGATTTACTAAATTGAATTCCAGGAGAGTTTGGATAATTTCCAATGCCATTAGCTATAAAACTATGTGCCAAGTTATTCAGACCTCTGGATCATACCCAAGAAGGTCATACCTACCTTTGTCATTTTTGTTCCTGCCCTTCTTCAGTTTAGCCAGCACTTATCCCCCAGCCCCAGGACCTGGCTTGTTAGGAAAAGCATATGTCATGAAGCTCTTGGTGGGGACTGAAGCCAATATCCCATTACATATTTATAGCTGGAGATACTAAACTTAAGATATCAATCAGTGACTTAAAGGCTTGGAATTTGGGACCCAAAATCAGATTTCTTGAAGGTGGGTGTTTAGTTATTCCCTCATTTTATACCATATGAAGGTAAGCGTCACACATTGCCCATACTTGGCCTTAAGCCCACCTTCGTTTTCCAGTGGTGGGCATGGCTTCAACTTCTCCTCCCAACTGCTCTCCTGCAGCTCACCTGCCCTTACCTTCCCCACTGGCTACTTGCTCTGTCCTTTGTATTCAAAAACCAAGAGTGATATCTTTACCCTCTAGTTCCACTTTCCACTGGGCCCATGAAGGTCTCATGGCTCGTGACCCTTCTGTGATGGTCACAAGACAATAATAAGGTTGGGAAGAGACACTGGTGAATATCTCAACACAGCAAGTGGCTGAGCTGATTGGCTGTTTCTTGCGTCTTCATTGAAAATTGGTGCTTTACCCCATTTCCTTGGCTATGGCTTTGGGTTATCATGAGAACTATTTAGTCCGGCTCCATAGTTTCCATGTCAACACTTCTCTCATTTCAGCCTTGTCCAAGTTCCTGCTACCTGTTGTTGTTGCCGATAAGGTCAGCATTTCCTATGGGCTGGCACAGCCTTCATCGGCTGAGGCTGAAGAGCAGTGGCCCTTGCTGGACAGGACAGGCATGTGCCAGTTCCCCTCAGGCAACACTCAGTCCACATTGACCATTTGGGATACTAGTTCGGCCACAGGCATTTGCATTTGCAATGCGTGAACAAGCTCATTA